CCCCCCCCCCCCCCCCCCGCCACAAATCCCTTCCCTTCTAGCGCTGATGATGTTCCTGTCAGGGATGCCCTAATTAATTCATGAGCCTCGAGGCAAGTTTCAAAAGAAATCCAATTATTTATTAGGAGCAACATGTCAGCACTTTTCCCATGTGGAGTTGGCTCTGACCTACATAATTTACTGCCCACCTATGACCCTGTTTCCCTCCTCCTCCCCCCAGGGTGTGTCATAAATCACATTCTCCAACCGAAGCACTTTCCCTGGGCTGTAGAAAACATGCCTCTCCAGCTGCCTCTAGTGACCCAGGATACAATCTGGAGAAAGGTATGCATGGAATGGGCTTCTGGTCATAGCAACCTAATTGCTCCATTAGTTCTCACCACCCACCCACCCCGCCTTCTTATGGCAACTCGAGAGCAAGCTTTACAAGTTGATAGTTCCCTAGTTGGGTCATGAACCATCTGCAAGAAAACCACCCAGCTCCGAGGGCCCCAAAGACCCTGCAGTCTTCCTTATTCTTCCCCTCTTTCTCAACTTCCACCCTTTCTTCCTCCTCCTCCTCTTTCTCATCTATTCCCTTCCAGCACTGATGCTGTTCCCTAGTTGAAACATCTGCAAGAAAGCTACGCCGCTCAGGAACCACCGAGGACCCCCTCCCCCCCCCAGTCTTCCTCCTCCTCCATTCTGCAAACCCCATTCCCTTCTCTCACTGAGGATGTTACCTCTTTGGGTCCTGAAACGTCTGCAAAGAGAGCAAGCAGCAAGGACCACACAGTTCAACCCTGAGCTGCAAATCTTCTCTTTGATTGTTTGTTCAACTAGCAGCCTGCACAATATCCAAGCGTGTTTAATAAAGCAGGTTCTGGATTATACCCCACTGGGGTGTTTTTTTAACACTTTTGAAACTGGGAATTGAGCTCCGTGTGTCTTGCCAAGATGGAGGAGGCCCCGCTGTGTTGAAAGAACCAACCTGCTTACTGTCCCAAAGGTCCTTTTCTGAGAAGGCCACTAGACGGTCTTATATTTTTGTCTTCAAGGACATTTCGCTTCTCATCCAAGATGTCAAAGTAGTAAAACATTTCTATGCCTGTTTTCGAGTTGCCATAAGTGGGGGTGGGGGGAGGGGGGGTGGGGAATTTGAAGGAGCCATACGGCAATTTAAAACCAGAAGTACATTCCACGCTTATCTTACAAAGATTATAGCCTAAGCTACCAGATCTTCTGCTCACGAAAATCCTTCATTGGCGAATGTGATTGATGACACCTAGCCATTCATTGGAGAATCTAATTTATGACACACCCAGGGGGAAGAGAGGGAAACAGGGTCACAGGTGACTGTCAATTACGTAGGCCAGAGTTGGCTTCATTTAGGTGACTGCCGGCATGTTGCTCCTAATAAATCTTTTGAATTCTTCTGAAGCTTGGCTCGAGGTTCATGAATTAATTAGGGTAATTGTGGGAACTCTGACACTAGAAGCGTCTTCAGTTCTGACCAGATGAGACAGTGAAATGTCCTCAAAGGAAAAAAAAAAAAAAAAAAGCACCTTTGGGACAACTATGACCTGGGTGACAGAAAATCTGTACAGACTTTTTAGCTGTCCAAATTGGGATGAAGACCCCTTGGAATGGTGAGAGAGGAAGAATAGAGAAAAAGAAATTGGAGACTACAGGAACCATTCGAACTGTGTTTCCCCGAAAATAAGACCTTTCTAGCATTGAAGATGTTCCCTAGTTGGGTCATGAAATGTCTGCAAAACAACCACCCAGCTCAGAGAGCACCAAGGACCCCACAGTCATTCTCCCCCTCCCCTTCTGACTTGGGAGTCTGCTTCAGCCTCCTGGGGCAGGGCTTTGGGCGAAGGCTGGAGAGAAGCGCCACTGGTGGCGAAGAGCTAGACCGCCTTGTTCCAGTGGGACTGCAACATGGCCTGGAACCGGCTGACCATCTCAGCCCACTGAAGAACCTCCAGGCGCCAGTACCTGGCCTTGCACTCCTGCATGTCTGCTTGGAAAGCCAAGGCTTGTAATCCTCAGTGAGGTGCTTCTGCTAAGCCTCCTTCTCAGTCAGATCCAATTTGAACTGAGCCGGCTGTTTGGCCAACTCTTTCTCATGAGGGCTGCTTAGCTCCTACAGCTGCTTCGTGTTGGGGCCCTAAGGAGCCCAGACGGGCAGGTGAGGAGAGGCTGGAAGGGGAGGGGCCAGTAGAGGACAGTGAGGCGCCCTTAACATGAGGGACATCGAGTTAGTCACACCCACCCAGCTGGTCATTAGGTAGATCATATTACTGTTTCCCCGAAAATACGACCCACCCTGAAAGTAAGTCCTAGCTTGATTTTTACATGTGTTCCCAATGTAAGTCCTACCTCCAAAATAAGCCCTAATTAAGATCCCACTCGCTCCGGAGTGGACAGGTAAAAATTAAGCTAGGGTGGGGATGGAGAGGTGATTGGAGCTGTCCTACTATTTGCCTTTGGACACTTGTAGCCTGGCTGGCCCATTTCTTCTGCAGCCAGCAAGGCCGGCAAGGCTTTCCTGAAGGCCTCAGGAGCTGATCACAAAGCTCAATCCTATAGGCTGCAGAGGCCTTCAGGAAAGCCTTGCTGGCCATAGCAGAAGGAGTTCCTAAAGGCCCCTGACAGCGAAAAGGAGGCCGGGGGGGGGGGGGGGGAGGGCAACGTGCACAAGTGAGGTTAGTCAGTGGATGACATCCCCCACAAATAAAACCTGGTGCCTTTTTTGGTGGCAAACACAGTAGTGGTCCACAAGATTTAAAATTATGAATTTAGTAGTCCCTAAAGTCCGAAAGGTTGGTGACCCCTGACCTGGATGATGGAAAATCTCTTACAGACTTTTAAGCCACTTACCGGTATATCCAGAAAATGGCTTATGAATGACGCCGACGACTGGTTTCCCATCCACCGCCGCGCACACCATCGTGGTGACGTACTGGGAAAGATTCTCTGGAGGGGAAGCAGAGAAAAAAACCCTTTGCGTCACATGTCCGTGCAAAAACAAAGCGAGCGTAAAAACAAACACACAAACAAAACAAAAAATTACAGCAAGTCCTCGGCTTACCACGGTTCCGACTTAGTGACTGTTTGAAGTTTGCCACAGCCCTGATTAAAAAGCGACCCAGGACCGGTTGTTCGACCGTACAACGTCCCTGTGGTCGCACGAGCAAAATTCAGAGGCTCTTTAGGACGGTTGCAATATCGTGTGTGTGTGTGTGTGTGTGTGTGTGTGTGTGTGGTATGATCCCCTTTTGCGACCTTCTGACAAGGCAAATTCACTGAACAACCACGTGACTAACAGAACATCTACAGGAAAGTCCCCCCATGGATTGTTTATAACAGAATAGAGTTTATAATAGCATAGAGAGAAAAATCTCCTTAATAGAAAAATCAAAAAGAAGTTTTGTTGATGGGAGTCCAAATACAACAGAAGAAAGAGATAAAAGGTGCTCAGAAAGGGAAGATTAGTAGGTACAAAAAGAGAGAGAGAGAGAGATACAAGACTCCAAGAGAGAGATAAAAGGTTGATTTTTAAAAAAATCAAGAAATGATGGAATTTCAAAAAGATCGAAAGATGGATGAGAAAATATTTCAATAAAATGGGAATATATAGACAGGGGAACCAGTTGTATATACATTAATAGAAAATATAATTTAATAACATAATCTAAATAAGTGAAGACTGTATATGGGAATTAGGATTAGGTAATTAAACTGTATTATTATTTAATAATGTGTTATATATTATGGATTTAAAATAATCAAGGACTAGAATTGTGTGGGATTTTGAGATACTCTCTCGGGATTGACTAAACATTAATATTTAGTGTTATTATTAACCTTACACATTTGGAATATTGAAGCGATGGTTGAACTATGAATAATTCTTAGAAAATATTAATAATAGTATTTAGGGATTATAAATACAAGGCACAAAGAAATGTTCTTTATATTTAAATGAATTAATGGGAAAATAAGGATTTGATTATGAAAAGAGATCAGTTCTGTTGAAGTTGTGGAAATTGGAAGATTAGAACTACATATACCAATCTGTATTATTCTTGTTATTGTTGCCTAAAAAAGAATTGACCCAGTTAATGCAAGGTTCAAAAAATATGCATGACATAAGACATAAGACATAAGAATTTATTTGTCATTACACTCGCAAGCGGGTGCAACGAAATGAGGTGCTCTTCCACAAAGTAAAAACTGGACAAACACCACTAAAAAGAAAAAAATTAAACTAAACACAACCAACCATACAATCATCTCTATGCAATTTAAAAAATGTAAATACCCCATTTCTCTCAGCCATTTAAATTCCACAAAAATCTTATGACCCCGCATTCAAACTCAAAACTGCACTTGGATAAAAACTGTTCTTAAATCTGGTCGTCCTTGTTCTTAATACCCTAAATCTCCTTCTCGATGGTAATAGTTCAAAGAGCTGATGTCCCGGATGAGAGGAGTCATTCAATATATTAAGTATCTTCCTCTTACGTCTATTCCTATACAGTTCTTCCAAAGAGGGGAGTGAGCAGCCAATGATGTTTTGGGCCGTCTTGATCACCCTCTGAATTGCCTTTTTCTCTGCCACTGTGCAGCTCGAGAACCATACACAGAGACAGTAGGATAATATACTCTCAATTGAACTCCGATAGAAGGTAGTCAATAGACTCTCAGCCAGTTGTTGTTTCCTAAGAATCCTTAGTAAATACAACCGTTGTTGTGCCTTCTTAATTAAAGCAGCGGTGTTTGCACTCCAGGTCAGGTTATTTGTAATGATGGTCCCGAGAAACTTACATTCAACCACCTGTTCCACACGAACTCCCTCTATATACAGTGGCTGAATGTCTGCTCTTTTTTTCCTATAGTCCACTATAACCTCCTTGGTCTTCTTAATATTAAATAGAAGATTATTATTTTTGCACCAGCGGGATAGCTGTAATACCTCATCCCGATATGCAGACTCATCATCCCCAGAAATAAGTCCTACAAGCGTAGTATCGTCTGCAAATTTCATTATCCTATTGTTGGGATGTTTATTTGTGCAATCAGATGAATAGATGGAGAACAGTAGTGGACTAAGGACACAACCTTGTGGAGTGCCAATGCTAAGTGTCTTGACAGTAGAAATATAATCATTCAGTTTAACTCTTTGTGGACGATTTGTTAAAAAGTCCAATATCCATAAACAAATAGAATCTGGAAAATCTAGATCTTTGAGCTTGGCTATTAATCTGTGCGGTATGATGGTATTGAAAGCAGAACTAAAATCTGCGAACAACATTCTTACATAATTCCCCGGTGTTTCCAAATGGGATAAGGCCATGTGAAGCACAGTAATAATTGCATCCTCGGTTGATCTATTTTCTTTGTAAGCAAACTGAAGCCCATCAAAGGAATTGGGAAGGCAGGAGATAATATAATTTCGAACTAGCTGCTCAAAGCACTTCATTAAGATGGAAGTTAGTGCCACCGGCCTATAGTCGCTCGGACCATTTGTGGGCAACTTTTTAGGCAGTGGAACGATGGTGGAAGCCTTGAGACAAACAGGAACCACACATTGTGTCAAGGATCGATTAAAAATTTCGGTCCATACCCCAGCTAACTGATCAGCACAGTCTTTTACCACCCGACCAGGAATTAAGTCAGGCCCAGCTGACTTTCTGGAATTAACCGCCTTCATTTTCTGCCTCACATCCTGCTCATTCACAATGAAGGGGAGGCTCTGCTGAGTAGATGATGGCAAAGGGACAGTTTCAGTTTGATGGATCTCAAATCGAGCAAAAAAGTTGTTCAGCTCCTCAACCACCGCCGCACTACCATCCAAAGAGACCTTTTTTGCTTTATAGTTCGTTAGTTGTTGAACCCCCTGCCAAACCTGCCTCATGTTATTACTGAGAAAGCAATCTTCAATTCTCCTCTTATATTCGGCCTTAGCTTGCTTAATGCCTCTCCTCAAGTTCGTTCTTGCAGCACTATAATCTAGATCATTCCCAGACTTAAAAGCCTTATTTCTTGCGTACAACAAGCGTCTAACCTTCCCGGTCATCCAAGGTTTTTGATTAGGATAAACCCGGATTCGTTTATCCACCGTGACAGTATCAATACAGTGTGCCATATACCCTAACACCGCAGCCGTGTGATTGTCGAGATCAGGATGATCAAAAACTTCCCAGTTTGTCTGTTCGAAGCAGTCCTTTAGCTGCTCCATTGCTCCCTCTGGCCAGCTTTTCACCGTCTTGACTACCGACCCTGCCTGTTTTCTCAGAGGAATATACTCCGGGGCTAAAAGCAGGGGCAAGTGATCCGACTGGCCCAGATGTGGTAATTGTAATACCCTGTATCCATTTGCAATATTCGTGTAGACCTTATCCAAGGTGTTCGACCCCCTAGTGGCACACCTTATATGTTGATAGAATTTAGGGAGGACCACACGAAGATCCACATGATTAAAATCTCCTGCAATAATGTATACAGCATCTGGAAATTTGCTTTGCAAGTTGCCAATTTCATCACCCAGGAAGCCCAGAGCCAAATCTACATTTGCATCCGGCGGAATGTAAACAGCAAGAATAATAACAATGCTGAATTCCCGTGGAAGATAGAAGGGTCTGCATCTAACAGACAGATATTCCAGCTCCAAAGAGCAGTGACGTGTTATAACCTCTGAGTTTGTACACCAAGTCTCTTTAACAAACATACACACTCCACCTCCTCTGCACTTCCCCACATTTCTGTCTCTGTCCAGACGATGTAATAAAAAACCGTCCATCTCAATAACAATGTCCGGAATAGTGAGGTTCAACCAGGTTTCGGTGATTAACAACACACAACAGCTTTTCACGAACTTACTTGAAGAGACCTGTAACCTTAAATCATCCATCTTGTTTGCCACAGATCTAGCATTAGTCAGAAAGAGACTTGGGAGCGGTAGCCGCTTCGTTTGTTTTTGCAGCCTGTATAAAACACCAGCCCTGCAGCCTCTTTTCTTCCCCCTCTCCCTTCGTCTTCTCTTCCTTCTCACCCTCTCTCTCATCGGAGCCACAATCCATGGAGAGCCAGGGAGCCTTGCAATCTCTGACGGTATGTTATGTTTCCAAACAAACTTAGCTGTTATCTCTTGTTTGCTTTGTAGTCCGATCTTCACAAGCTCACAATTGCTGTAGAGTATGTTCACCCCGCAGGAGGTATTCACAATACAAGATAATCCACACAAAAACATCCATAAAAAACACCAAGTCGAAGAGCACTGAGCTGCAGCATGTGAATGCGCGGCCATCTTAGCACGAATTTTCAAAAAATATGCATGTTTATAATAATAAAAAAACCTTACTGGATTGTTATTTTACTATAGTTATTTTACTATACTATAGAGCAGGGGTCTCAAACTCGTGGCCCGCGGGCCAATTGTGGCCCGCAGGACGATATCCTGTGGCCCCCACCGTGATATGAAAGTATAATATTAGTGCAGCCCGCAGGGGGAATGGACCTCTGAAGGAAGTCCCGCCTGCCGTTCCTCGTCGTGGCTTCTTCTCCACCCTGAACTTTAACAAGTCCAAGTACAGGTCCAGACTTACTGATGATCATCTTCAAGCCATACTGAGGGTGTCAAGTGCCTCCTCTCTCAAGCCAAATGTGGCTCAGATATGTGAGAGGAAGCGTTGTCAAGTCTCTGGCAGCAAGGAGTAAGCTGGAGAAGCCATGTTCTGAGGAATTGTTCATGATCTTCATTCAATGTTCCATTCATGTGTTCAGGACAGTTCATGTATTGGAGAAATCATTAACTGTTGATGACATTTGAGGATATTTTTCTAACAACGTTTTTTGTGGAATCCCTTATGCGGCCCAGCCTCTGCCTCCAGCGGCCCCCAGGTAAATTGAGTTTGAGACCCCTGCTATAGAGGAATTGACAGACTGGATTTTATCGTAAATTTGCTCTGAAATTAGTTACTCTAGAATTTTTAATTGGAGATTCACCGAATGTTTTTATTTTTTCTGGTCTCTGGTCTAAGACAGTAATAAACTGAAATGCATGTACCATGTTTCTCATATAATAAGGCCGGGTCTTATTTTTTTTTGAGCCCCGAAAAAATGGCTAGGCCATCTTTTCGGGGGTGACTTAATTTCCCCCCCCCCTTGCATCTTCGGGCGGGCGGCGACGGCTTGGATGTTGACCTCGGTGTTGGTGGGGCACTTCGTATTGGGGTCAACGCAGGCAGCACCATATCCGGGTGCGCAACAAAAGTACTTCCTAACGGCAAGCCCCCTCCATAATTCCCCCCCATTTCGCATGTTTTAATATAGGCCTTAATTTGGAGGGAGGGGCTTAATTTCATTTCATGCCTATAAAACATGCTGGGACTTCCTATTGGGGGAGGCCGTATTGTTGGAGAAACAGGGTATGTATGTGTATATATTCACTTAATGACCATGTGACTCACTTCACAACTACAGGGATTCACTTAAAAAATAACCTATCTGGCCAGGGAGATAATCAAACAGGGCAAAATTCACTTGGTCGTTATGTGGCTTGGCAACAGAGGGTTTTGGAATTTGAACGTCTTTTTTCTTTGTTATGATGGATAATCTTTAATGTTTTGATGTATAGTGTTTTTCATTATTATTGATAATGTTTAATGGATGGATATAGATATATAGGTAAAGATAGACATGATAAATAGATAAGTGAATAATATTTAGATGATAAATGGTAGATGATGGATAAGTAAATAATATTTAGAATATAAGTGATAGACATTATAGAGACGTAAATAGTATTTAGATGATAAAAGACAGACATGATATTTAGAAGATAAATATAATATAGACATGATAAAATAGATAAGTAAATAATATTGAGAATATAGAGATAGATTAGAGAGATAATACAGACATCATAGATAAGTAAATAATATTTAGATGATAAATGATAGACGTCAAAGATAAGCAAATATTTAGAAGATAAGTGATACAGAAATTATAGAGAAGTAAATAGTATTTAGATAAGTAAATATTTAATGATAAATGATAGACAGACATGATAGATAATATTTAGAAGATAGATATAGATAGATAGATAAAAGAGAAAGAGACATGATAGAAATATTATTCTCAGAGTTGGTCATTGTTACCTGTGTATTCCTGAGTTGCATCCAAAGGATCGATCCACATGGTGATGCTCTCGGCTGGAACCAACTTCGGCTGGACCTGCCTCGCAATATCATCAGGAATGATGCGGTCCCAGGCGATGATCTCTGGGTTGTTTTCATCCACGTGTTCTTCGCTGTTGATCTAAAGGGAAAGAAAGGGAAAGGGACGCATCGACCATCATGAAATCCACGCAGGCACGCTGAGAACAGTTAGGTACCTCATGGTTGAATTGGGATGCTCTCTTAAGCCTCCGAGTGGGCTTGTGGACCTTTTATTACTGAGGAACGTTGTCAATGGTAGAAGGGAGTGGGGTTTGCGGAAAGGAGGAAGAGAAGGAGGAGGAGGAAGATTCATTGCTCTCTGAACTTGATGGTTTTCTTGCAGACGTTTCATGACCCAACTAGAGAACAGCATCAGTGCTAGAAAGGAGGAGGAGGAGGAGAGAGAGGAAGAACAAGGAAGATTGTAGGGTCCTTGGTGCTCTGAGCTTGGTGGTTTCCTTGCAGATGTTCATGACCCAACTAGGTAACATATTCAGTGCTAGAAGAGAGTGGCGTTTGTGGAGAGGAAGAGGAGGAGGAGAATGCGACGATGACTGTGGGGCCCTTGATGCTCTCTGAGCTTGATAGTTTCCTTGCAGACATTTTATGACCCAACTACACAGTGTCATCAATGCTAAAAAAGAGGGGATTTGCTCTGCTTATATAGTCCCTTCCAGCACTGACAATATTCCCCAGGTGAGCCAAACAAAACATCCAAGTTCACAGAGCACCATGGACCCCACAGTCCTCCTCCTCCTTCCCTCCTCACTCTTCTGATGATATTCCCTAGTTGGGTCATGAGACGTCTGCAAGAAAGACACCCAGCTCGGGGAGCACCAAAGACCCTACAGTCAGTCAGTCAGTCAGTCAGTCAGTCGTCCTTTCCTTCCTTCCTCCCTCCCTCCCTCCCTCCCTGATGATGTTCCCTAGTTGGGTCATGAGATGTCTGCAAGAAAACCTCCCAGCTAATAGAGGACACCCCACCCCATTCCCTCCTCCTCTTCCTCTCCATTCTAGCACTGATCATATTCCCTAGTTGGGTCACGAAACATCTTCAAAAAAACAGCCAAGCTCAGAGATCAGCGAGGACTCCACAATCCATAATGCATTTCCTTCTTAACAACATCCCAGAATATAATGTCACAAACATTACCCAACAGCTTCAACATGAAACCAATAAGGCTTCCCATTGAAACGCTATTTTTGCTCCCTTTTACAGCTGGTGCCAAATTCTGTACAGGTAGTCCTCAACTTACAATTGTTCATTTAGTGACCATTCCAAGTTGCGACGCTGAAAACCGTGACTTATGAGCATGATTTGCACTCACGACAGTTGCAGCATCCCGTCCTTTCCGTTTGGAGGCTTGGCAGCTGACTCATACTTATGACAGCCGCAGCGTCCCAGGATCATGTCATTTCCCATTTTCCGACCTGGGTTGAAACCCAGATTCACTTAAAACTGGGCAACTTTTATTGATGACAGGTAGTCCTTGAGTTAGATAGTTCATTTAGTGGCCATTCCAAAATTACAGCAGCCGTGTGTTTCAGAGTTATGACATTTGCAGCCCGCCCCTAATTGCGTCCTCGAAATTCCGATGCTTGGCCACCACTTTATACTTGTGACCATGGCTGCATCCGACAAGCAACGGCAAGGGAGAAGCCAGATTCATTTGAACAATTGCGATGATTCACTTAACAATGGTGGCAAGAAAGGATGGAGCTCATTTAACCGATGTCTCGCGCTTTATCGGGGGCTCCATTACAGTCGTAAGTCAAGGACTGCCTGTAGAACGATTCGCTCAACCAACGTGGCAAGAAAATCCATCAACTGATTGAAAGTTGGGAATGGTGCAGTGGCCTAGAGGTGGAGCCCTTGCCTCACAATCCAAAGGCTGTGAGTTCAATCCTAAGTAGAGGCAGATATTTCTCTCTCTCTCTCTCAGCACAATGGGAATATATCTGCTGAACAAAACTTCGCCCTAGCCACAGGAAGGGAGGGCATCTGGCCATTCAAACACTCTGCTAGCACCATTCAGTTGCCCAGACTCCACCCCGCAAGGCATTATGCGGTCGTTAAAATATGAAGATGACGGTCATAAGTTGAGGACTAGCTATGTTTTCACAATGCTCCCTTTTAGGAAACTTGCCGGATCGGCCTGGTGTTGCTTCACTTTGGGATTGAATGAAAGACACCTGACATTAGCGCAATATGTGGCAACAGGCAGGTTACAACAGGGTGCAACTTCTGCTTTTCCCTGGCCCCATCCCAGGTTGCAGTTGTACTGCACAAACCGGGACACTGTTGTGTAAGCTTTTCAACAGGAAGTGAGACCGCACCTTCAATGTTGATTGAAATTCATCCCTCCTGTTTCTAATCGGGCAACCAGCTGGCTGGGAATCATGGGAGTTGAACCGCACCAGGCTTTTCCTCACATGCATGGCTGGCTGGGAATCATGGGAGCTGAACCTCACCTGGCTTCCCCTTGCACGGCTGGCTGGCTGGCTGGGAATCATGGGAGCTGAACCCCACCTGGCTTTTCCTCACATGCATGGCTGGCTGGGAATCATGGGAGTTTGAACCCCACCCCCACTTAAAGCATGGCTGGAGAATCCTGGATGGGGATTCTGGGCCTTGTAGTCCACCCAGCTTCCCCTCTGCGTTGCTTGAGTCTCCCTCCCCCGCCCCTTTGCCCAACCCGGCGCCTACGGGCGCTCTCATCTCCCAGACACCCCAACACCACCACAAGGAGGCGGCGGATAATGGGCTTTGGCGTCCTCCCCTCACCTGGACGTCGGGGAAGGCGGCCTTGAGGAGGAAATACATCTTGCGGTTGGAGAGCAGGTCGCCGCTGGTCATCTTCTCCTCGGCCCCTTCGCGGGTCTTTCCTTTCACCAGGGGGTGCAGCGCGTTGTCCTCGCGGACTCGACGCACCTCGGCCCCGCCGCGGACCGCCGCCGCCACTGAAGCGGCCAGCAACTCCCGCAAGTCCACCAAGCCGTCGCTGCCGACGCCGCCGGCCAGCGCATGAGGCCCGCCCAAGAGGAAGGAGGCGAAGCGGCCGGCTAGGAAGCCCGAGTAGAGGTGGTAGAGCACAGCCAGGCCGAGCAGGCAAAAGACGGCCACCCCGAGCGGGGAAAGCCGAATCCCCATCGGCGCCATGGCCGCCTTTTTTTCCTACTTTACCTCAGAGCGGAGCCATGACGCCTCAGGGGCGGCGCGGAGCCTGCACTTCCGGCACCGGACGTCATTTCCGGTCCCCTTCCTGCCGCCGTTTCCCCTCAGCGCGGGGAGGGGAACAGGGTGCCTCAGGGGTAGGCGCGGAGCCTGCATTTCCGGCGCCGCGATGTCACTTTCGGTCCTCTTCCCTCCGCCGCTGAGGTTTTCCCAGGGCTTCTCAGGGGCAGGCGCGGGGCCTACACTTCCGGCTTACGCAGGCACCCCACACGCAACTTCCGGTCGTTTTCTCAACGCCGCTGAGGTGTCCCAGTGATGCAAGGGTGTCGGACCCTGCGTTTTCCCCCAGTGCTGGATGGGACCGGGGTGGGGCCAGAGCGCGTCAGGGCCGGCGGAGCGCGGCCTGCGTTTCCGGTGCATGCGCAACTTCCGCTCCACCTCGCGCAGCCTCAGATGGGCCGCCCGCGAGTGACGTCACGCGGGAGCGCCTTTTCTCTCCCCTTCCTTTTCCTCCTTCCACGAATGCGCATGGGTTCGAAGAATCATAGAGTGAGAGTGAACAGGGAGAGAGCGGCGGCTTTACAGAGGGAAGCGGCGGCGGTGGTAGGAGGATTGGTTAGCTTCCGGCAGAAGGAAAACGGAGAAGCGGAATATTCCCCAACTGGGCGCCCTCCAGTTTCGGCTTTACTTTTACTTACTTTCGTTTTTCAAAATTGGCTGATGGAGAACATAGCAAAAAATTGTATACATACATTATTATTATGTAGGGGGCGTGCATAAGCGCACCAACGTGCCTACCGTCCCTGTCCTATTGTTTCTCTTATTCTTTTATTTTTCTTATATGTACCCATTTCATGTATTCACAACTATGTATACATTTATACTTATTATCTTGTAAACAATTGGCAAATCAAATAAATAAATAAAATAAAAATAAATACATACACACACATACACACAGAGATATATACACATACAGGCACATACACACACATGCATATAAACAGATATACACGCACATACACATATGCATGCACACCCATATATACACACATATAGACAGACACACACATACACACAGATACATAACTACACACACACACACACACACAAACCCCCAAAACTTTAACCTTAGACTGTCTAATATTGACCTCACCCCTTTCCTAAGAGGTCTGTAGGGGGCATGCATAAGCGTCCCTGTCCTATTGTTTCTTTTATTTTTCTTATATGTACCCATTTCATGTATTCATAACTATGTATATACTTTTACCTATTATCTTGTAAGCGATTAACAAATCAAATAAATAAATAAATAATAAAAAAAGATATATAAAGACAGATATATGGATACATATGCAACACCCTCTTAAGACACACACACATACATATATGCATACACATATGCACACACATACAGATATACATGCACACACCCACATATACACACATATAGACAACACACACACATACACAGATATATACATATACATATGCACACACACATACACTGTGAAAACCCATCCCTGGAAGCTAAAGCGATTCCAGCTTCCCAGCCAGTAACCCGAGTTGGAAGACCGAGCCAGGCTGAATGGACAGGACTAAGGATCGAGTCAGGAAACGCAAAAGTCCCCCAGAATTTCCATTCCCCTCCTTTGCCCCTTTCACCCCAACCGCCACCCAGGAAACCAAACGGACAATTAGAATTACCGAATTGAATCACCCCACCTTCTAGACGTCTCAATCTCAAAGGTCCAAAAGGATATAAAAATCACTCTGCTCCCCCTGCCAGGTGGTCCCGTTGTCCCAGAACTGACCCTCAGACTGACACTTCGCTTGATTCCTAAATACTAAATGGAAAACTCCTTTCTTGCAGCTTGCCTCCATGTTCATTGGCTCCAGTGTCTTTCTTTCAGCTTGCAACTGGACCATATTTTACTTCCAACATATACACATTACAAATATACATATATGCACACATATATAATATGCCATATTTATATAGCCCATGTGTGTATACCTATATGTATATGCATAAATGTCTGTCTATATCAAATATAATCTATCTACTGTATCTACCTACCGTATCTATCTAATCTATATCTATCTGCTGTATCCATCCATCTATCTATAACATCTATATCTAACATATCTGTCTACCCTATCTATCAATCTATCTAATCTATATCTATCTACCATATCTATCCATCCATCTATATCATCTATACCATATCCATCCATCCATCTATCTCATCTATATCTATCTATCTATCTATCATCTATCTATCTATCTATCTATCTATCTATCTATCTATCATCTATCTATCTATCATCTATCCATCATCTCTATCTATCTATCATTCTATCTATCATTCTATCTATCTATCTATCTATCTATCTATCTATCTATCTATCTATCTATCTATCTATCTATCTATCTAATCTATATCTATCTACCGTATCCACCCATTCATCCATCTATCAATATCTCTATATCAGTGGTCATCAATCAGTGGGCTGGGGACCACTGGTGGTCCACGAGAAAATGTTGGTGGTTCACAGAGAAATGTCCCCCCCAAAACGCTCCCCCTCAAGCAATTAATCCAGGCTGCGCGGGAACACAAGGCTGCGCCTCCCACATGGCCCGCCCACCCGCTGGCCCCCACCCTTCAGCCGAGAGCACACCTTACCTTGAGTAGAGCCGTGTGAGCTGGAGGTGGAAGGTAAGACCAACGGCGGGGGAGGGAAATCCGCCCCGGGGTGGCTTACTGACGTTGGTGGGAAAGTCGGTCCCATATTCCAGAGCTGCAGGAGTCACCGGAGTGGTCATCCCGAAGCAGCTCCTCCAGTCCAGGGCAGGCCGTTGCACTTAGGTGGAGGAGCAGCTGCTCCGGGACGACCCAAAGGGCCAGTCCTGTGACTCCTGCAGCTCTGGAATGTGGGACCGACTTTCCCACCAGCACCAGCAAGCCACCGTCAGCCAAAATTCATAGTAGTGGTCCGCGGGATTTGAAATTATGAGTTTGGTGGTCCCTGAGATCCCAAAAGATTGGCGATCCCTGGTCTATATCATCTATCTATATTTATCTACCATATCTATCTTTATCTATCTATCTAAATCATCTATATCTACTGTATCTACTTATCTACCTACCTACCGATCTATCTATCTGTGTGTGTTTGTATATGAAGCATCAACATCAGGAGAAGTGATAGTAGCCCTATATACAGGTCAGTCCTCGACTTACAACATTTCATTTAGTGACCATTCAAACTTACAACAGCACTGAAAGAAGTGACCTATATGACCAATTTTTATACTTAACGGCCGTTGCAGCTTTCCTCTGATCACGTGATTTTTACATTCAGGATGCTTGACCACTGATTCATAGTTACAACAGGGTTGCAATGTCCCCAGGTCAGGTGATCCCCTTTTGCGACCTACTGACTGGCGAGGTCAATGGAGAAGCTGGATTCACTTACCAACCATCTGACTAACTGAAGAATTGCAATGAGTCACTCAACAACTGGGGCAGAAAAAGTTGTAAAAGGGTGGGGGGGGGAACTCACTTAACAAATTTCTCACTTAGCCACATAAATTTGGGGTTCAATCATCACGTCGAGTACCTAGATACTCACATATATATATATATATATGCATACATACCCTGTTTCTCCAACAATACGGCCTCCCCCAATAGGAAGTCCCAGCATGTTTTATAGGCATGAAATGAAATTAAAGCCCCTCCCCCAAAATTAAGGCCTATATTAAAACATGCGAAATGGGGGGGAATGGTGGGGAGGCTTTCCGTTAGGAAGTACTTTTGTTGCACACCCGGATATGGTGCTGCCTGCGTTGACCCCAATATGAAGTGCCCCACCAACGTCGAGGTCAACATCCAAGCCATCGCTGCCCGCCCGAAGATGCCGGGGGGGGGGAATTAAGTCACCCCCGAAAAGACGGCCTAGCCATTTTTTCAGGGCTCAAAAAAAAAAAAATAAGACCCGGCCTTATTATATGAGAAACACGGTATGTATATGTATGTATGTATGTATGTATGTATGTATGTATGTATGTATGTATGTATGTATGTATGTACTGTGTTTGTCCAAAAATAAGACCAGGTCTTATAGTAATTTTTGTTCCAAAACATGCATTAGGGCTTATTTTCTGCTTAGATCTTATTTTCGGGGAATTGTGGGTCTAAATGTGTCTGACAAATTTAACTGGGTTTTATAGAATACACAACGCAGAATAAATACAGAAGGCAGAACCTAGAATAAATACACAGTAAAGAATGCACAGTAGAACTCAGAATCCCAATTGCAGAATCCCAAATGCAAAACGCAGAATGGGGGATAATAAACAGCGTGGGAAAACACCATGGCAGATCAGATCTTATCTATACCAGGCTTTCATCAGTTAATAGCGACCGCCACGTTAAGTCAGCCTGGATATATGCCAACCTGGCATTCAGGAGCAGCTGCCAAGAGTTGAATTCGAGATGCCCGAGCAATGTGGCACTTGAACCCGGAACGCCGAACAGGTACAAAGCACTGAAGCCGGTTCCTTTTAGATTCCCCTATCCCAGGGATGGGGTTTAAAAATTTCAAAGACCAGTTCTCTGCTCTGGTTGCTGGGTGGGCGTGGCCATGGTGGGTGTGGCCTAGTTGTGGCCTAGTCAGCCTCCTGCACCATGGGGGGGGGGGGGGGGTTCACTCTCCCTGGGGACTGGAGGCTTTCCTTGAGCTTCCGGGAGGGCAAAATGTCCTCCCTTGGGCTCCGGAACTTCTGGGAAGTCCGTTTTTCGCCCTCCCCGAGCCTCCACGCAGGCCCACCTGGCATCCAAAACGGGCCACTTGGGAACTTCTGGGAAGGGCAGGGCTGGCAGGGGAGGGATTTACCGGGTCGCCGAACCAGTAATTAAAAATGATAAAATTAGCTACCGGTTCACCCGATCTGGGGCAAACTGGTAGCAGCCCCCCCCCCCGCCCGTCTCTCCATCAAACCCAGCTGGCTTAAACCGGTTTGCCAGGACGATGGAGGCCAGCCATTCAGGGCTCCCTCCAAACCTGTTGGACAAGTGGACATGTGATCGATGTTTGACTTTTTTTAAAAAAATTCTTTATTAAACAATTAAACACAAAGACACAAGATTCTTACAATAAAAAAGTTGGACATGGTACAGTTTCCCTAACATCGATCATTGTCGTAACATTGCTAAATCCAGTAGTAATATTACATAATTTTCATCTATACACTTTAAATATACATTTAATCATTCCTTATTCTCATTGATCTTCCTCATCTCTAGCCAACCATAAAATTTATCCCATGCTTTATAATAATCTGAATCTTCCTTATTTTTTTAGTTCTTTTGTTAATTTATCCATTTCTGCGCACATTGTAATTTTCTTCAATATTTCCAATTCATTTGGGATATCTTTATTTTTCCAATTCTGTGCATACGCCAACCTTGCTGCAGTAATTAAATGAATCATCAAATACAGGGTTTCTTTAAGATCGATGTTTGACTTACAGCTGTGCCCTCCTTCCCATGTCAACATCTGGTTGCTGACCAGCGTATTAAGAAGGAACGAGAAGTTTTTGTAAGATTTCCATTCGCTTTAGCTAGAGTTACTACGTGGGCCTTTGCTGGCTAGTTTTAATACTTCTGGTCCTGTCTTCAGGGGCTTTGGAGCATGTCAACTCATAAAACATTCCTATGCCTGTTTTAGTAGTTGCCATAAAGAAAAAAAAAGGGAGTGGGGAGACGAAGGAAATCTGGAAGAGCAGTGCAGCAGTTTGAAATCGAAAGTACATTCCAACTCTTATCTTTAAAATACTGTAACTAAACTACCAGAGCTTTTGCCCTCGAATATATTTAATTGGAGAACTTGAATCATGACACCTAGCCTGTATTTGGAGAATGTGATTGATGACACCCAGCCCAATTGGAGAATCTGGTTTATGAGACCCCTGGGTGGGGGTGGGGGGAAACAGGGTCACAGGGGACTGTATATTACATAGGCCAGAGTTGGCCTCACACAGGGCAGGGCCAGTATGTCGCCTCTAATGCATCCTTTGAAGTTTCTTGAAGTTTGGCTCGAGAATCATGATTTAATTACAACGATTGCTGGAATCCTAACAGAGCATAGGTTGACCCCCCTTCTTTGGGGCCGCCCCTCAAATACTGGAAGACTGCTATCATGTCACCCCTAATCCTTCTTTTCATGAAACGTAGACATCCCCAGTTTCTGCAACCGGTCTTCATGTGTTTTTAGCTTCCAGCCCCTTTGTTGCTCTTCTCTGCACTCTTTCCAGAGTCTTAGTGTCTTGTTTTTAATATGGTTGGTGACCAGGGGTGGGGGTGGGGTAGGGGGGGGCTTCAAAAATTTGAGCAACTGTTTCTCTGCCCAATTGCTGGGTGCACCACAGGGGGAGGGGGGCCTTTTCGCTCTCCCTGGGCGCAGGGGGCTTTCCTTGAGGCTCCGGGAGGGCGAAAACGGTTCCCTGAGCTCCAGAGGCCCTCTAGAGGTCAGAAACGGGCTTGTTTCCGGCCTTCCGGAGCCTCCCGGAGGCCTGTTTTTCACCCTCCCTGATCCTCTGCATGGGCTCTATACTTATCTAGGATGTCAAACAGGCCGCATGGAGACTCTTGGGAGAGGGTGGGGTGGGTGGGGCCAGCCAGAGGTGGGATTTCCTGGTTCACTGGGCTGGCCATAAAATTAGCTACCAGTTAATTGTTTGCGCAAACTGGGGCAAACTGGTAGCAGCCCACCCCTGGTGGTGACCAAACCTGGATGCAGTATTCCAAGTGTGCTCTTACTAAAGCAGTCTATAGCGCGACTATTGCTTTAATCAATCAATCAGAACAAAGCCAGAAGGGACCTTGAAGGTGCTCTAGTCCAGCCTGCAGCTCAAGCAGAACACCCTATATACCATTTCAAATAGAGATGAGGGTCTGGTCTTTTATTAAAAATCTCCAGTGGTGATGAAGCACCCACAATTTTGGGAGGCAATTTTGGGGTTCTCGTTCTGCTTTATGCACTCTTCTGGATTCTTCCTTCGGGGTTCTGCGTTCTGTATTAGGCAATCTGTTCTGTATTTTACATTCTGTATTTATTTTGGGTTCTGCACTCTGCATTCTCTTTATTCTACATCTGGGTTCTGCATTCCATATTATGCACTCTATTCTGTACTCTACATTCTGTATTTATTCTGTATTCTTGGTTCTGCATTCTGTATTTATTCCGCGTTTTATATTCTGCATTCTGTATTTATTCTGTATTTCATATTTTGCATTCTGGGTTCTGCATTCTGTATTATGCACTCTATTCTGTACTCCACATTCTGCATTTATTCTGTATTCTGGGTTCTGCATATCTGGATTCCCTATTTTGCATTCTGTATTTATTTTGTGTTCTGTATTCTGCATTCTGGGTTCTGCACTGTGTGTTATGCGCTCTATTCTACATTCTATATTATATGTTCTGCATTCCGGGTTTTCTATTCTGGGTTCTATTCTGCATTCTGTATTCTGGGTTCTCTTTATTCTGGGTTCTGCATTTATTCTGTATTCTGCATCTGGGTTCTGCATTCTGTATTATGCACTCTATTCTGTAGTCTACATTCTGTATTTATTCTGCGTTCTGGGTTTTGTATTCTGCATTCTGTATTTTTTCTGGGTTTTGTATTCTGCATTCTGGGTTCTGCATTCCGTATTATGCACTCTATTCTGCATTCTGCATTCTGGGTTCTGTATTCTGCATTTTTGGGTTCTGCATTCTGTAATATCTAGTCTGTACTGTATTTATTTGGCATTGTGTTCTGTATTTGGCTTTATCTATTCTGTACACTGCCTTATACATTCTGTATTTATTCTGTGTTCTGCATTCTGTATTTATTTGACATTCTGTATCCACCATTTTGCATTCTGTATTTTTTCTACATTTTGTATTCGGCATTTTCCATTCTGTAACTATTCTGCATTCTGCAGTTATTCTGCAATTGCATCCCTCATGGAAATGAAAGTCAGTGTGTGGGAAACCAGATTTGTTTAATGACTGCACGATTCACTTAACAACTGAAGTGGTTTGTTTAACATCTGTGGCAAGAGAGGGCGTAAAACAATGTGCAAATCACTTAATGGCCTTGTTTAGCAAAGGACATTGTGGGTTTGATTGTGGTCATAAGTTGAGGACAACTTACCCACATTGTATTAATGAAACAGAGATGTAGGTCCAGAAATATATTTGTAAAAACCACCAGAACAGACAAAAGGTCCACTTAACAATCACAGATTTATTTATTTATTTTTGTTTATGCCATTTCAAACCATTTATCGCAAAACGTGTATTCGTTAAATCATTCAAGTCCCTAAAGACAGATCCGGGTAGGAAAAAAAAATCAGTAGTATCAAGGCCTCACATGAAATATCTCATTTTATCCCAGTTCAAATATAATTTTATCATTTTGAAAAGAACACCGGTACTTCTATACCTTTGTTTTTTGCGAGCGATCAAACAATTGAAAAACTCCTCAACCGTTATTGCTTTTTGGACTTTTACCGAAGAATGACGCCGGAGCTAACATTAAAAAGATGGCCAGTCCAAATTCTCTGCCCCCCCCCCCCCCCCAAATTATTTACGAAATTTGAACGGACACGCACGCCTGCTATTCAAGAACAATTATTGCTGGAAACTGTGCTTTGGCATGCAGCAAAACAACAAACACATTTTTAATGCATATTTTCCTTGCGATCAGCTTTATAAAGCCTGGATATCTTCTATACTAAATGGGTTTAGAACTATGCATAGTTTAAAAACATATACATACATACATACATACATACATACATACATACACACACACACACACATACATATATGTATACATACACACAATTGCACACATACACACATATATATATATATATATATATATATATATATACACACACACACACATACACACATACAACATATATATATCTGTGTACACACACACACACACACACACACACATATTGGCCCCTCTGGGTTTCCTGCTCAGCTGGCAGAATTTTCCCCGAAATCAGTTTTAAACTAGGTACATATACTATCTTTTGCATTTAAAAAAAATGCACATTTAAAAAAAACACCAGGTGCAATAAGGCTTACGGGCGAAAGGAACAAGTGCATCAAAACAACACATTTTTGTGCATCTTTTCCTTGCAATCAGCTTTATAAACTTGGGACATCTACTATATACTAAATGGGGTTAGTATTATGCATAGGTTTTTTTTTTTACAGGGGTGGGTTTCAGCCGGTTCACGCCGGTTTGGCCAAACCAGATGTTAATTTTACATCCAGTTGGGTGAACCGGTAGTTCCGACGACTGGCTGGTCCTGCCTCCAGAGAGCCTCCGTAGACCATGGGGGGGGGGGGGAAACTGACCCCCTGCAACCCGTTTTCGCTCCCATGGTGGTGCAGGAGGCCGACTAGGCTATGCCCACCATGGTCACGCCCACCCAGCAACCGGGCAGAGAACAATAAGGCATACGGGTGAATTATAATTGCATAGCTAATGCAGGTTTGGCATGTCTGGGGGGGATTTCTCGCGGCAACTTCCGCGCCAAAAGCCAAGGCCACTTGTGAGTTTTCAAGGCACAAATTTTTACAAGTTTTAATTCCCGTCTCAGTGCTTAAAGCGTCAAAAGAATTCCATTGGCATAGCATATCGGACAGAAGTGTATGTAGGAAAACCTAGATAAACTCAGGTCTTTCCTTCCCTAATAAATCAATTTGATTGCAATTGACTCAGACTATCAAACCCCCAAAGAAGAAGAAAAAAACAAACTTTAATTAAAAAATAGATTCAGAGAAGGAAGGAGGGAGCATTTTGCCCTACTGCCAAAACTTCTCCTGAATGAAATTCTTAAAATTTCACCCGCTTAAGAGAAAGTTGAGCAGCTTAATTCTAGAAATAGGTCTTATTTCTACTTAGCGATTGCAAAATTCAAGCATTTTAATTCTAGAAGTAGGTCTTATTTCTGGGGAAGAATTGCAAAATTCTTTACTGTACTCCCAAACCCACGAGCAAAAATGGACTGATTCTTCCCTCTCCATTGCCTGCACCCTGAAAAATTATTTGGAATTTTTTTTTTTAATCAGCACATTGTTCAAAAACATCCCTCCATCTCCCTCACCTACACATTGAAAAGTCATCTATTTTTAAATCAGCAATAGACTGGTCTCCATTGAATATAAAAATTATTTCCCCACTGGCAACTCAAAACCTTGGGAAAAAATGAATGCTAAATTATTTTTTCCTTTGCTGCTTCATTGTGCTTCTCCTTTCCCATTTGGTGGAAAGAATGTGAATTCTTTACATTGTAAAATTTAAAAAAAAAAAGTTTAGGGTGAACCATTCATCAAAGCCGTTCTGCATTTCGGAAAATTACAGAAGAGGGGAGGCATCGTTTATTTATTAAATTTTTATGCTGCCCAGTGTCGCTACCTCCATCAGAAGGCTGGCGTACAAAATTTAATAAACAAAGAATACATATATCATTTTAATGTAATCCAGAGAAAACTCTGGGAAATGGGATCTGGGCTGTGGGATGGGAACAGATATCCTTCCTTTTAAATAATTCCCAAAATTAGAATTTTGAGAACAAAAATGGATATAACTTTTAGTTATATCTATTGAAAAATGGACAATGGACAAAACAAAAATCTTATAGATTACAGATTAACAGAGTTGGGAGGGATCTTGTAGGTCATCTAGTCCAACCCCTCACCCAAGCAGGAGACTCTACACCAGTGGTGGGATTCACATTTTTTTACTATCAGTTCTGTGGGCATGGCTTGGTGGGCATGGCAGGGGAAGGATACTATAAAATCTCCATTCCCTCCCCACTCCTGGGGGAAGGTTACCATCATTTCTCTGAACTACTCAACATTTCCACTACCGGTTCTCCAGAACTGGTCAGAACCTGCTGAATACCCACCTCTGCCTTACACCCTTTCTGACAGTCCAATCTCTTCTTGAACATCTCAACCTAGGTTAGCCAAAAGACCATCAGAGGCTGGTCTACAAAATCATATAGGGTTTCCTGCTTGAGCAGGGGATTGGACTAGAAGACCTCCAAGGGTCCCTTCCAACTCTGCTCTTCTGTTAAGAGGAAGAGGAGAAAGAGAAGAGAAAGGTCTCCTGCATTAGGGGGTTCGACTAGATGACCTCCAAGGTCCCTTCAAACTGTTATTCTGAGAAGGAGGAGGAAGAGAAAAGGAGACGGAGAGAAGGGTTTCCTGTCTGAGTAGAGGGTTGGACTAGAAGACCTCCAAGGTCCCTTCCAACTCTGTTCTTCTGTTAAGAGGAAGAGGAGGAGAAAGAGGAGAGAAGGATCTCCTGCATGAGTAGGGGGTTGGACTAGATGACTTCTAAGGTCCTTTCTCACCCTGTCATTCTATGATTCTGTAAGGGTCTCCTGCTTGAGTAGAGGGTTGGACTAGGCGGCCTCCAGGGTCCCTTCCAACTCTATGACTCTGTTCTTCTGTTCTTGTTTACAGTCTATAAAAACTTTCCTGAAGCTCTGAGGTTGAAGGCTGATGATTCACCTAGGCTTTTACAGTTATTTATTTATTTTTGGATTTTCTGTTTCTCTTTTTGCCCCACCAAGATTGAGCTGTGAAATTCCCTTTATTTTAATGTAAAACTTTGAAACATTTGGCTGTCCCTCTGTCCCTGGATTTGGAGGGCATTTGGATATTTGGCAAATGGAATTAGCCACCCAATTTCCTTCTTTCTTTCTTTCTTTCTGTTTTTTTAGGGCGTAGGTTGAGGTTACGGGAGTTGGGAGCAAACAACTCCTTGCCGGTTACTACCGCTCCTTACTCACGGATCTGCCACGTAGCTAAGACTCTGCCTTAAAAAGGGATTGATTGTCTAAACAGGCAGAGTTGGCTAATCCCATTTTTTTCCCCACACAATAATAATAATAATAATTTGCAAACTGGAGTGTTTGAAATTTAGCACAGATATTTTCTGGCTTTTTAACACGGGGCCGAAGAGGAATCCTTGGCTATTTTGTTCTTTCGATCTCAGTTACACTTGGGGTTATTTCTGCCTGCCTTCCCGAATCGATTTGAAATATTAATCCATCTTTTATGGCTTTTGATGTCCCCTCCTCTCACATAGAGCTGTCAAATTATCTCTAGTGTCGTGCTTATTAAAAAAGGAGTGTGTAAAAAGTAGCTCAATCTTCCACCAAACACTTGTGTAACCAATTTACACAAACATTAAGTTCTTGCTTGACCAATTTAACCAACTGAACAAAAGGCTGGTTAAACAGTTGTTTCACCAATTTAACCAATCTACCCAAATTTAACCAAACCCTAGTTAAACACTCAATCAACCAATTTACGCAACACACTAAATACTTGGCTAAGCAGTTGAACCAAGCCCTAATTAAATACTTGTTTAACTAATTTAAGCAATCACCCCAGTTTAACCAAATACCAATTAAAAGACTTATTTACAACTAGTGTTTATAAAAACACTAGTTAAACACTTGTTTGACCAATTCAAACAAAGACTAGTTAAACACTTATTTAACCAATTTAAGTGATTTACTCGTTTAACCAACTTAACCAATCTACCCAATTTAACTAAATACCAGTTAAAACTTATTTACTTATTTATTAACTTATTTATAACTACTGTTTATAAAAACACCAGTTACACAATTGTTTAACCAATTTAAACAAACACTAGTTAAATACTGGTTTAACCAATTTAACCAATCTACCCAATTTAACCGAACACTAAATACCTGTTTAACCAATTTAACCAATGTACTTGTTTAACCAATTTAACCAATCTACCCAATTTAACAAAAAAACTAGTTAAACACTAGTTTAACCAAACTACCCGATTTATGCAAACCCATTTAACCAAACACGAGTTAAACACTTGTTTAAAAAACAAAATGTAATGAAGAGCAAGGTGCATTGAGCAAAGGAATAAAAACTCGGTCTTAAAACAAGGCATTCCCTAATTCCGTTAAATTTCATTTCGGCACATTTTTTTAAAGCATCATTCTTTATAGTTTTTCCCCAACCAGGACAACTTTTGAGAGGTGTGGACTTCAATTCCCAGAATTCCTCAGCTAGACACATCAGAATTCTGGGAGTTGAAGTCCCCACTTTTTAAAGTTGCCAATGAAGCTTTGAGTCCAGCTTTTTGCAACCTTGTGCAAATCTTTAGCAAATCTTAAAAACACAACAACTAAATTCCCTCGAATTTAGCCGTTCCCGGGAGGGTCCCGTTTGTTGTAATCCATGCAGAACAAACACACTTCCATTTGTGTACGAAGCTTCGTTGCGTTCTGCCAACCTCTCATTTTATGGGGGGAAAAGGCACTTTTTCACCAACCGATCCAGAAATCTTTTTTTTTTTCCTCCTTTGTTTTCATCTAGAAATCTTGGCGAAAGTTATTTCAAGAGGCCCCAACTTTTCTATCGCCAGGAATTATATATTTGGCGGCGAACTGGGTCTATTTTTCGAACCGCCAGAGTTGGTTTTTATCTGATGGATTACACGTCCTCATCTTTACGTCGGCGCGGCCCTCGGGCGTACGATAAGCGCTCAGACATTTGGCAGAGTGCGGGTGGTAGATGGTGCCATCTTTCTTAAAATGCCAGATGATGATTTCTGGCACGGGAGACTTATCTTTCGGACAATTTCTCATGCCGACAAAATCCTTCTGCTCCGGCACTTCGGCGCAGAGTTCAGTCACCGAGTTGAAACGGATTTCCAGATTGGAGGTGTATTCAAAGAACTGGTTGCCGCCTTGGCCGTGGCATCCGAAAAGGCTCACGTGGGCCCCGGTGGGATTGTGTTCCGGTGAGTTGTAATCCAAACATTCGGACGAGATGCCCAGGTTGTGGATGGCGCCGTGCCAGCCGGGCCGATCCTCTGGGACATGTAAATTGGGGAAGACGGTTTTTAAGTACCAGTCGAAATCCTTACACTGCAGACGCTGCCGTAAGACTTTCCGTTCGGAGAGATCGCCAAAGTTCTCCTTCCGTGCTGGAGGATTCCGATTGTAGAAATGTTCTTTGTAGTGGTCCATCCAGACTTCGGCGGCTCGGGCGGTGTTCTGTAGAAAGTTAGGCCTGGCGTACGGGGCCCGTTTCGGAAAGACGTGCCCGACATGGGAACACGGATGGATTTCCAAGACGCCGCCACACTGCCAGACGCGGAAAGAGAGCTCCAAGTTCTCCCCACCCCAGACATCCATCCCAGTGTCATACGTGCCGAGATACTCGAAGTATTTTCTGCTGACGGCAAACAGGCCGCCGGCCATGGTGGGCGAGCGGATGGAGTCCACTTTGGACTTCCGGCGTCGCCGCTCGTAGTCGGGCACCACCTGCCACTGGAAGGTGAGACGCCAGTCAAAGCCACCGATCATGGGCTCACCGGACTGCATGTAAAACTCGAAAGTGTTCCAATCGATAGTGTCGATGACTGGGCAGATGACGACGGAATCGTTCTGGGCGATGCGTTCCAGCAAGGGCTCCAGCCACCCGGGGACGCACTCGCAGTGGCAATCCAGGAAGGTGAGGACTTCACCGGTGGCGAAGGTGGCGCCGATCAGCCGGGCCCGCACCAGCCCTTCCCGCTTCTGGGTGCGGATCAGCCGCACCCTGGGCAGGCGGCTGAGGTAGGCCTCCAGCTGGGCCTTCAGGTACGCCCGGTCGCTGAGGTCATCCACCAGGATGACCTCTTTGAGGACAACGGCTGGGCTGGTTTCCAGGACGCTGTGGACCGTCCGCAGGAGGGTGGACCAGGCCTCGTTGTAAAAGGCGATGACCACTGAGGTGGTGGGCAGATGGCGGTACTCGTAGACCTTGGCTCGGCACTCGGGCATCCGCCCATCCTTGATGTGACGGTGGAGGGAGATGCGGTCGCTCACATAGATGTTGATGGCGTAGCGCTCCAGCAAGCTTTCCTCCTGGCGCTTCTGTTCCCCATCCAAGCTCAGGTGGGAGGCCTTGCCCCATTCTCCTGGCGCTGAGGGATCTGGAGGGGGCTTGGGCTGGACCGGTTGGGAAAGTTGCTCGGGCCCCGGGGAGGCAAGACTCCCGGGGGTCGCTCTTCTTCCGGCTCGGGCGCCCGTGGGCGCCCCGAAAGGAGACAGAGAGAGAGGCAGCTGGAGTGCCAGCAAAGCCGCCGCGCACAACAAGCCTAAAAGCGCGCAGCCACGGCGGGCCAGGCGGGTTCGCATGGCCGAGGAGGAGGAGAGGTGGCCGTAGTAGCGAGGACGAGCGGCGGAGAAGGAGGAAGAGAAGGCAACCAGCGCCTCCTCCTCCTCCTCCCGCTCCGCCCGCCCAGCCGGGACGCGCGCGGTTGTTGCAAAGGCGAGATTGTCTGTCCCCTGCGCTTTTTTGCTTCGCTTGCAGGCACGCTTGCTTTTGCCTGTTGCTCAAGGACTGCGCGCTCCGGGCGGGTTTTAGCGGGCGGCTGGGGAGGGAGAGGAAAAGGGGGGCTTCCCCTTCCCCCGGTTTCTTTCCAGGGAGGCGTCTCCCCCCCCCCATGGAAAAAGAGGGCCCCGCGAAGGCCCGGCGGGGAGATTGCGAGAAGAAAGGCGAGTGCGGGGGGAGGGGGAAGATTGCGAGGTTGGTTTGGACTAAAGACTTCGGACGGCGTGTTGTTCCTTGCGTCTCTCTGTCTGTCTGTGTATCATCAATCTTTCTTTCTCTGTCATCTATTATTTAACTATCAATCATCTATTTATTTCTATATTCTATTTAGTATTTGTATCTTTCTTTTATCATCTATTATTTACATATCAATCACCTATTTATCATGCATATCTATCTATCATCTATCTTTATTTATCAATCATCCATTTGTTATATCTCTCATCTATTATATACCTATCAATCATCTGTATTTATCAATCTATTTACCATCTATCAATCTATTATCTTTTATTATCTTACGTTATTTACGTATCAATCATCTATTTTTCATCTATATATATCTTCAGCATCATCAATTAACCTTGCTAAAACTATATATATTCTGCTATATATATTCACTGTGATTAATATGTGTGTGTATATCTACATACATGTATGGATATGCATATACATAGACACACACATCAATCGTGTGTGTGTGTGTGTGTGTGTGTGTGTGTGTGTGTGTGTACTGTGTGGGAAGGGAGAAAGAAAGAGAAAGAATAGAATAGAATAGAATAAAGAATAGAATAGAATAAGGAATAGAATAGAATGGAATGTTATGGAATAGAATAGAATAAGGAATACAATGGAATGGAATAGAATGGAATAGAATGGAATAGAATAGAATAAGGAATGGAATGGAATAGACTAGAATAAGGAATAGAATAGAATAGAATAGAATAGAATAGAATAGAATGAGGAATGGAATGGAATAGAATAGAATAAGGAATAGAATGAAATAGAATAAGGAATAGAATAGAATAAGGAATAGAATAGAATGGAATAGAATAGAATAAGGAATAGAATAGAATTGAACAGAATAGAACAGAACAGAATAGAATAGAATAGAATAGAATAAGGAATAGAAAATAGAATAAGGAATAGAATGGAATGTTATGGAATAGAATAGAATGGAATAGAATAGAACGGAAGGGAACGGAACAGAACAGAACAGAATAGAATAAGGAATAGAATAGAATGGAATAAGGAATAGAACGGAATGGAATAGAATAGAATGGAATGGAATGTTATGGAAAAGAATAGAATAGAACGGAATAGAACAGAACAGAACAGAATAGAATAAGGAATAGAATAGAATGGAATGTTTTTGAATAGAATAGAATGGAATGGAATAGAATAGAAAAAGGAATAGAATAGAATGGAATGTTATGGAATAGAATAGAATAGAATAAGGAATATAATGGAATGTTTTTGAATAGAATAGAATAAGGAATAGAATGGAATGGAAGAGAATGGAATGTTATGGAATAGAATAGAATAGAATGGAATAGAATAACGAATAGAATAGAATAGAATGGAATGTTATGGAATAGAATGGAATAGAATAGAATAGAATAAGGAATACAAGAGAAGAGAAGAGAAGAGAATAAGGAATAGAATGGAATGGAATAGAATAAGGAATAGAATGGAATGTTATGGAATAGAATAGAATAAGGAATAGAATAAGGAATAGAATAGAATAGAATAGAATAGAATAGAAGAGAATAGAATAAGGAAGAGAATAGAATAGAATAAGGAATAGAACGGAATGTTATGGAATAGAATAGAATAGAATAGAATAGAATAGAATAAGGAATGGAATGGAATAGAATAGAATAGAATAGAATAGAATAGAATAGAATGGAATGGAATAAGGAATAGAATAGAATGGAATGGAATATAATATAATATTATAGAATGGAATGGAATATAATATAATATAGAATAGAATAAGGAATAGAATGGAATGCAATGCAATGCAACAGAATAGAATAAGGAATAGAATAGAATAGAATAAGGAATGGAATGGAATGGAATGGAATAGAATAGAATAAGGAATAGAATAGAATAGAATAAGGAATAGCGTAGAATGGAATGTTATGGAATAGAATAGAACAGAATAAGGAATAGAATGGAATGGAATAGAATAAGGATGGAATGGAATGGAATAGAATAAGGAATAGAATAGAATGGAATGTTATGGAAAAGAATAGAATAGAATAAGGAATAGAATAGAATGGAATAGAATAAGGAATAGAATAGAATAAAGAATAGAATGGAATGGAACGGAATAGAATAGTAGAATAAGGAATAGAATAGAATAAGGAATGGAATAGAATAAGGAATAGAATAGAATAGAATAAGGAATAGAATGGAATGGAATATAATAGAATAAGGAACAGAATGGAATGGATGGAATGGAATAGAATAGAATAAGGAATAGAATAGAATGGAATGGAATAGAATAGAATAAGGAATAGAATGGAATGGAATAGAATGGAATAGAATAGAATAAGGAATAGAATAGAATGGAATGGAATAGAATAGAATAAGGAATAGAATAGAGTAGAATGGAATGGAATGGAATAGAATAGAATAGAACAGAACAGAACAGAACAGAATAGAATAGAATAGAATAAGGAATAGAATGGAATAGAATAGAATAAGGAATAGAATGGAATGGAATAGAATGGAATAGAATAGAATAAGGAATAGAATAGAGTAGAATAGAATGGAATGGAATAGAATAGAATAGAATTTAATGTTTTTGAATAGAATAGAATGGAATAGAATAGAATAGAATGGAATGTTATGGAATAGAATAGAATAGAATAAGGAATAGAATGGAATGGAAGAGAATAGAATAGAATAAGGAATAGAATGGAATGGAATAGAATAGAATATTATAGAATAGAATAAGGAATCGAATGGAATGGAATGGAATCGAATAGAATCGAATCGAATCGAATAGAATAGAATAGAATAGAATAAGGAATAGAATGGAATGGAATAGAATATAATATTATAGAATAGAATAGAATAAGGAATAGAATAGAATGGAATGGAATAGAATAGAATGGAATGGAATCGAATAGAATAAGGAATAGAATAGAATAGAATAGAATAGAATAGAATAAGGAATAGAATGGAATGGAATAGAATAGAATATTATAGAATAGAATAAGGAATAGAATAGAATGGAATGTTATGGAATAGAATAGAATAGAATAGAATAGAATAGAATAAGGAATAGAATGTTATGGAATAGAATAGAATAGAATAAGGAATAGAATGGAATGGAATAGAATATAATATTATAGAATAGAATAAGGAATCGAATGGAATGGAATGGAATGGAATCGAATAGAATCGAATAGAATAGAATAGAATAGAATAGAATGGAATCGAATAGAATATAATATTATAGAATAGAATAGAATAGAATAAGGAATAGAATAGAATGGAATGGAATAGAATAGAATAAGGAATAGAATAGA